CATGGGTTAGTCATTAATTCTAACCCGGATCTTTACGGTGCTGTGCACTAAAAATTTGCCAATGACATGTGATTGTTTTCAAATTAATGGAAAAAAACAACTAGGCTTCATTAACAAAGAGGCAAATAAAAAATAGCACATGTTAAGAAAAGTTCCTCAGAAATAATAGAACTAAGAGTGTCACCATAATGTTTAGTGTGTTGACAAACGTGACACATCGAGACATACAGACAAAAAGTTCAAACAGCACTAGCAAACATCAGCTGTATAGACCAGACACCCTAAAAATGAAAATGACATGACCTCCTCGCGCGCCTAAGACACAGCTGGTCATTTTGTTCTCGTGCTCCTTATCAAGTTCATAAAGGAAGCTTGCGGAATCGCATTCCATTCCTCTACTAGAGCTCTGTGGAGTCCTGGGAGATCCACTGGTGCTGGGTGACGTTTGTACGAGTTCATCTCAGGCATGGTTAATTGGGTTGAGGTCTGGCGAGCATGCTGACTACTCCATTCACTCTACACCCTGCTGCCTAAGGAATTCCGTGACAATCTTGGCCCTATGAGGCCTAGCGTTGTCGTCTTGCTGTATAGAAGGTCGACCATGAAAAACCATGCATAGCTTGCAACAATGGTACTGCTATAGGAGCCAGAATCTCGTCCCGATAACGCTGTCCAATACGATTACTGTCGACCACGTGCAGTGGAGTACGTCCGGTAGGCGTTATCCCTGCCCAAACCATGACCGACCCAACCCCCCAAACACACACCTGTGTTGCCTAAGTTGACGTTTTCAGTAAGAATAGGGTCATAAGAGATGCAAGACGTTTACACAACGGCTCTCTTGTGTTGCCTAAGTTGACGTTTTCAGTAAGAATAGGGTCATTAGAGATGCAAGACGTTTACACAACGGCTCTCTTGTGTTGCCTAAGTTGACGTTTTCAGTAAGAATAGGGTCATGAGAGATGCAAGACATTTACATGACGGCTCTCTTGCTTCAAACTGAGTGTTTTCTCGGACGATCTTGCGGACTTGTTTTGGAGATTTTACGTGCGCTGTCCACAGTTTTTAGGTAATGAAATTATTAACAGCAACGAGTTTCAGAACAATATATTGACATACAACTAATCAATTTTAAACTTCAACGCTGTGATTACATTTCACTTCACTTGGAATGATTCAGTCTGACGTTTCTAAGGTCCTTCATATTTGCTCAACGTATTCGTTTTAACATTCTTCGGTTTGCTGGAGATATTTTGTTCAACTATTTTGGGACTTATTATAACTGAACTTAAATGTTATTTATTTAATTGCCTATTCAGGAAGTGAGTGAGTGAGTTTGGGTTTACGCCGCTTTTAGCAATATTCCAGCAATGTCACGACAGGGGACACCATTCATTGACTTCACATATTGCACCCATGTGGGGATCGAACCTGGGTCTTCAGCGTCACGAGCAAACGCTTTAACCACTAGGCTACTTATTCAGGAAGTAAAAACTCCCATTTACAAATTGACAAGTGCTTGACAACGACATTAGAATCTATGTTGAAACGTCGCCTATACAGAAAAAAGAAGTTGTATATCCATAAGAATAGTCCTCATTCTTCATTTACCCAACCTTTAGTATGCCAACCAAAGAAGCCAATAAAGAAGGGATTGATTGATTGAATGGTTGATTCGTTGGTTGGTTGGCTGGTTGGTTGGTTGGTTGATTGATGCCGCACTATTAAAGCTGTATGACGGCCATATGTATATAATCGAGTCTGAACCAGTGATCAACAGCACAGGGCGTAGGAACAGGGGGTTTATTTCTGTTTTGGTCAAATGTAATTACTGATATCATGACACTGTGATTAAATATATCATGGCACTGTGATCAGTCGGGCTGTATCTAGTTATTGACTACATGTATGAAAACGCTACTGCATCACAAGTGCCCGAATGTTTTGAAATCAATAAAACGACATCTAAATCCATACCATACGTTGTTATGACACATGTGTATGAAGTTGCCTTAAAATTACCACCAATAGTGAGTGAGTTGGGTTTTACGCCCCCTTTTAGCAATATTTCAACAATATGACGGCAGGAGGACACCAGAAAAGGGCTTCTCACATTGCACACATGCGGGGAATCGAACAAACAATTTTACACAAGAGTAAGAACATAAGATAACACAGTTCACGACTGCCTCTTGAAGGAGTCACAGTTGTTTACCAAGCAAATGGGGAGATAGTTTTGAAAGAAATTATTGTGCAATGACTCTCTCTCCCTTTCGTCAATGTTGCAAATTTAAACACTTCGGTGTAAGTTATGTCCCTTTGACCTACGGATTTTGATATTGAAAACTTTGGTGGTTCGTCGAAAATATATAAGTTTTGTTGTTGTTTATTCTTTAACACAAGGGGCTGTGGGGTAGCGTAGTGGTTAATACGTTCCCTCGTCATGCCGAAGACACGGGTTCGATTCCATATATGGGTACAATGTTTGAAGCCCTTTCTGGTGTTCCTCAGCTGCGTTACTGCTGGAATATTGCTAAAAGCGGCGTAAAATCATACTCATTCACTCATTGTTCAACAAAAAACTCATGATTTTTTATTATTTTCAAAATCAGCAGATTCGTAAATCATGCAAATACACATATAGATCCCAATGTAGCATTAACATTCATTTTGAAGCTAAGGGGCAAAGGAAGAATAACTATAAAATTTGATGTTATAAAAATATTGCAAATGTTATTTTTAACGTACTAAGCTGAAAACCTCCAAGCGAAAACTTAAGGTCTCAAACAAAACTGTGATGCCACTATCAAATACATCACCATCGGATTACCATGTCTTGTTTTGCTTCAATTGTAGCCACCACCAAACATAGAAGTGTGCTTTCTTTATTCCGCCAGTTAAGTTTTCCGTGACAAGGCTCATTTTAAAGACAGCAAATATTTGTGATAACTATTCAGAAACAATGTTAGTTTACATAACTTGTTTGTTTCTCTGTTGATTAATGCCAACTCAGCAATATTCAAGCCATATGGCGGCGGACTGTAAATAATCGAGTCTGGGCCAGACAATCCAGTGATCAACATCACGAGCATCGGTCTACGTACTTGGGATACGATGACATGTGTTAACCAAGTCAGCAAGCCTGACCACCCGATCCCCTTAGTGACCTCTTATGACAGGTATGAGTAGCTGAAGACCAATTGTCACCCGGATCTTCACGGGTCTAGTTTACACAATCCAAGGCACCAGCTAATTACAACGACTGGACCTAACATGGAATCGTTGAGCATGTACCTCAAAGAGTGGGTATGTTGGATATATTGGCGCCGCCCTTATGACTACAAACCCGTGAAGATCCGGGTTAGGATTTGTCTTCAGCAACCCGACTACTCGTAAGAGGAGACAAACGGGATCGGGTGGTCAGGCTCGCTGACTTGGTTGACTTATCCCATTTGGGTAGAACGATGCTCATGCTGTTGATCACTGAATCCGATTTCCGATTTGAATTTTAAAACACCCAAGGGATTTTTGTTCAACCCATAACTTGACCACAATTGAATGGATTGTTTTCAAATTTGGGGATCAACCACTATATCTATAGGAGTGATACAGTGCAAAGTTGTATTTTGATATTTTTAATTTATTACAAATTATCACAAATTTCATTTCTTAAACTCGGGAAAACGTCCCTTAAAATCTATTCAAACAATAACTTTACCATCAGTTCATGGATTGTTTCCAGATTTGGGTAATGGATTCTTTGTTTATAGAAAAGGTGCAGTGCAATACAGATCTTGGAGTTCGTCAAGAATAAACATTTTTAATTGTTGTACAGCTGAGGTTGGGCGTCACGGGTCGGTGGTATAAGTGAGGCTTTATTTTTGGCCTGTTGCTACGTTAAGCAAGGTCCACTAATACCCCCGACCGTAACTTCAAACTTCAGCTGAACAACAATTACAAATGTTTATTATTGATAAAACTCCTGTATTATTGATTATTCTTGACAACAATACAATTGGTATTAGTGAACCTGTTTGGGCTTGTTGCTGCGTTAAGGAAGCGGTAGGGCAGCCAAGTGGTTGGCCCGTCGCGCCGAAGACTCGGGTTCGCTTCCCTCATGGATACAATGTATGAATCCCATTTCTGGTGTCCCCCCGCCGTGATATTGCTGGAATATTGCTTAAAGCGTGAAACTAAATCCCGCCGAATAGCTACCACGATACCTTCTCGTCAATGTACGAAATACTCGGGTTACGTGGAGCGTGAAAACCTGTCGTGAACTGGTCATCGACAGCTTCCAAGCACCATTCACTGATTCTGTGACAAAATTCTGATTTTCTTGCTCCACAAGTTAGCCCAAAGACAAACTTTGCATCGGTGTGCTCATACAATATTTTTCTAACGTGTAAGGGGTGGGGGTGGGGGTGGGGAGTAGCCTGAGTGGTTAAAGCGTTCGCCCGTCACGCCGAGGACCCGGGTTCGATTCTAACATCTGAGCGACGGTTTTCAGACGACCCTTGTATGAATCCCTGTCGTTTGTGACGCAGTGCGGTAGACATTATGTTAAATAGTTCGTTCGTCTCGCCGAAAGCCTGGGTTCGATTCCCACATGTATACATTTTGTAAAGCCATTTCCTGGTGTTTACCGCCGTGATATCTCTGGAATATTACTAAAATCGGCATAAAACACAATTCACTTACTCATGACACCAGTACCCTAAACAATATGACAAAATATATTTTTGTTGTGTATTTGTTTTCGGGGCGGTGGGGTAGCCTAGTGGTTAAAGCGTTCACTCGTCACGCCAAAGACCCGGGTTCGATTCCCCACATGGGTACAATGTGTTAAGACCATTTCTGGTGTCCCCGCCTTGATATTGCTGGAATATTGCTAAAACCGGCGTAAAACTAAACTCACTCACTCACTCACTGTATTTGTTTTCATTTGGACAAATCGAAAGAGATGAAGCCAAATTGTTTCAAAAACTGACATCTGATTTGTTCAAAAACCAACTTTATTCATATTGTAGGTTCAACGTTCGCTCAGGCTACACAAGAATTTGGCTCTGGAATAGATGGCGCTGTGCAGTCGTCCGCGCTCCCGGAAATGACGCCATGCAGTTGTGACTGGCTGAAGCAGTGGACGAAGCCGAGGGAGACCGAGCTTTGGATGAGGGGTACCATGTCACAGTCACACCTGAGCGTGACATACGATACAGTCTTCAGACCTTCCAGCGCCTTGCAGCCCACGTTCATGATGGATCCTCGGAAGAAGTAAGAGGTGGAGGAGAAGGACGTCGTCTCCAGTGAGGCGAAAGCGTAGCCGTTGAGGTTGGTGACGTTGTTGTAGTAGAAATAGAAGGTCCTGCTGCTAGATATCCTGCTGAAGGCGTACCCTTGGATGGTGGAGATGGTGTTGCGTTGAATGCTGATGGACGCGAGGTTTGACAATCTGTAGAAAGCGTGGGATGAGATGAAGCCAATCTGTCCATTGTTGATTGAAATCCTCCCGGCAGCATTTTGTAGGTTTTGGAAGGCACCTGATGCGATGTTACCGATCCGAACTCTGGAGATTGAAATTGTCTTTGCGGGAATTCCGCTGAAGGCACATCTAGCAATGGAACTGATATTGCCATTGCTGATCGTGATTGACTGCAACCTGGGCATTGCTGCGAAGGCGTTCGGAGGTATATTGCTGTTGATGTTGTTGAGACGGAGAGTTGTGACGTCGGGGAAGGTGAGGGTGGGAATGGAGGTGAGACCGTTGCAGGTGACGCTGGTGCTGCTACAGGAACATCCGGTCGGACACTGGGCTGAACACAGACTGACAGCCAGCAACAGCAGCAGAAGACGGAGAGCCTGGGGAAAAATACATTTGAAATTCTTAGTGATTAAAGCATGGATAACGAATCAACAAATACAATTACAGGGCGAGATCCAACAATTAGCGGATCCTGACGCCATCGAGGGGAACAAGTGCGGGCGAACACAGACTACGAAGGTCATTGTGCCACGAGATGCGAGTAGTCAGGGCCCCTCGGTTAGATAAATGGCATTGTGATCCCGTGGTGTCACAATGTCACCTGCTTCGTTTTATGAGTCGTCATTATGTTAGTACGTCATTACGTCAGTGGGTCATTGCGTCACTAGATTGTACCGTCACTAGATCATTACGTCAGGAGTTTATTGCGTCAGCGTATCATTACGTTAGTGGGTCATTGCGTCACTAGATTGTTCCCTCACTAGATCATTACGTCAGGAATTTATTGCGTCTGCGTATCATTACGTCAGTGGGTCATTGCGTCACTAGATTGTTCCCTCACTAGATCGTTACTTTAGGAGTTTATTGCGTCAGCGTTTCATTACGTCAGTGGGTCATTGCGTCATTAGATTGTTCCCTCACTAGATCAATACGTCAGGAATTTATTGCGTCTGCGTATCATTACGTCAGTGGGTCATTGCGTCACTAGATTGTTCCCTAACTAGATCGTTACTTCATGAGTTTATTGCGTCGGCGTACCATTACGTCAGTGGGTCATTGCGTCACTAGATTGTTCCCTCACTAGATCGTTACGTCAGGAGTTTATTGCGTCGGCGTATCATTACGTCAGTGGGTCATTGCGTTACTAGATTGTTCCCTCACTAGATCGTTACTTTAGGAGTTTATTGCGTCAGCGTATCATTACGTTAGTGGGTCATTGCGTCACTAGATTGTTCCCTCACTAGATCGTTACGTCACCAGATCCTTCCTTGAGTGGATCATTACCTCAGTAGGTGTGTGGGTCAGTGGATCATTATCTCAGTAGGTCTTTGAATCAGTGGATCATTACATCATTGACACTGCCGAACATTGTGTCAGTAGATCATTGCGTCAGCAGGTCATTGCGTCACTAGATTGTACCGTAACTATACCCTTCCTTGAGTGGATCATGACGTTAGTAGGTCTTTCTGTCAGTAGATCGTTACGTCACGAGATCCTTCCTTGAGTGGGTCATTACGTTAGTAGGTCATTGTGTCAGTGGATCGTTACGTGATTAAATCCTTTCTTGAATGGATCATTACCTCAGTAGGTCTTTGTGTCAGATGATCGTTACGTCACGAGATCCTTCCCTGAGTGGATCATTACGTTAGTAGGTCATTGCGTCAGTAGATCATTGAGTCAGTAGATCATTGCGCCAGTAGATCATTGAGTCAGTAGATCATTGAGTCAGTAGATCATTGCGTCAGTAGATCATTGAGTCAGTAGATCATTGAGTCAGTAGATCATTGAGTCAATAGATCATTGCGTCAGTAGATCATTGAGTCAGTAGATCATTGAGTCAGTAGATCATTGAGTCAGTAGATCATTGCGTCAGTAGATCATTGAGTCAGTAGATCATTGAGTCAGTAGATCATTTAACTCAGAAGATCATTGAGTCAGTAGACCATTGAGTCAGTAGATCATTGAGTCAGTAGATCATTGAGTCAGTAGATCATTTAACTCAGTAGATCATTGCGTCAGTAGATCATTGAGTCAGTAGATCATTGCGCCAGTAGATCATTTAACTCAGTAGATCATTGAGTCAGTAGATCATTGCGTCAGTAGATCATTGCGTCAGTAGACCATTGCGTCAGTGGAACATATTTGCGGTTATAATTAAGGATGACACTTTCTCAGTAAAGTACAGATGATGGTACTTTTTCAATTGAGTTCTCCGGGATTCGAACCCACACATTTCAGTTTAAGGTACCTAATCGCCAGCACACAAAGACAGCGATCTAGCCCAATCAGCCCTCGCGTTTTACAGAGGAAGTGTAATCCCAACATACGTTAAAGATGGTACTTGTTGTTATTCTGCCTGTCCCTCGACAATATTTCTTCTTTATATATTTATTTGCTGTTTAACGCCACACTCGGCTATAGTTCAGCTATGACGGCGCTCTGTCTATAATCGAGTCTGGACCAGGCAATCCAGTGATCGACATCATGAAAATCGATCTATTCATTGGGAACCGATGACATGTGTCAACCAAGTCAGCGAGCCTGACCACCCAATCCCGTTGGTCTCCTCTTATGACAAGCATGGGTTGCTGAAGACCCAAATCTTCACGGGTCCGCTCGACATTAAGGGAATAGAACACGATGTGATCAGTTATGTGTATGAATGGGGTATCCACTACAGACTAGTACGAACATACGAACATCCCCTACACACACGCACGCACGCACGCGTTCATTCACGTTCACGTTTCTTGAACGCCGTATTCAAGCCCGTTTCACCCACTTCACCACACACATACCATCAATCCTACAATGCCCTCCACACACACACACACACACACACACACACACACACTCCCCAATATATTGCCAAAGTTCTGAAAATGACATTAAAAATTAAACAAAATATTCATTTGACTCAAAATGATAAATAACAGTTACTAAATCGTAACATATGGTTAAAAAGAAAAAAACATATAGTTATAAATGAAAACAAAAAAATAAAATAATTATTTCACTGAATGATTTAGCCGTCACCTTATTATACCGGACGGTTGTGACATGTAAAACGTGAACGAGGTTCAGTCAGTGATAAGGGCATTTCATGCTGATATGCCTGACTTTCATCATTCAGGAAAGTATTCCGCTTAGCAAATATACGAATAGATACCAACAACTAAATTTCATGAATTTATTCATTTTTACATGTATTTTATTTGGAAAGGAAATATTATAATTTATCCTCTGTAGAAAAAAAGAAGTATCTATATATTCTTACCATGTTAAAGGTTGGTGCTGTCAACGAGATGTCGCTGTTAGTCGTTCACACGCAGAGGAGTGTGTTGTCAGAACCTCGATTCAGCGACGCGCATATTTATCAAGTACATGCGCAGATGGGCGGGCTGGTTTTTGAGGAAGGCGTGGCTTCGGCTGACCAATCAGAGCCTCTCAATCATGTTTAAGCCTGTTCGAGTGATGACGGTGGCAAAACATTTTAATATGATCATCAAATACCATTTCGGCCATCTTGTGAAAAAACCCTCCAATTTAATGACTTGTTACTGGGTTAGATTCAGTTTGGAATGTTTTAACATTTAACTGTTAAACTAAAATTTATTAAATGGTGAGAATTTATGGATGTAAATAATAATAATAATAATAACAATAATAATACTTTATTGCCCAAGAAGGGAATTTGTCTTGCGTTAACTTGTATATGTCAACTTGTATATTATGAGGAACACAACGTTTCTTACTCCTTAACCAGGTAATTTCTCACCTTTGTGTGTTTGACTTCTACATACTGTTCAAAGCTAAGAACAAAGTAGAAGACGCAGTCGCGGGGAAACGTTACCGACAGTTGTGCCCGTTGGTCGAGCCAGGATCCGCTTTTTCTGGATTCGAATCCAACAATTATAAGTTAACGTCTGAAATTGTCCGGATTAAGAAGGTTCCATTCTTTATGTGTACTAGTGAACAACAGTGAGCAACTAAAACCTAAACACGACCTAAAACAAAACTTTAGCTATGGGCAGTGGTGTTTTTATGTTTTTCACGTAGTCACCACGATCTAAAGTTACATTACATTCTTGTGAAGTTTCACTTGTCATCTCCCTACAGGTTTATCCCAGCACGGACAGGGGAAGAAAACAATTAAATTAGCAGTCGGCAGCTTATCGGTCGGCAATGAGAGTGAGGGAGTTTAATTTTACGCCGCTTTCAGCAATATGTCCGGGGCATACACCAGAAATGGGTTTCATGCATTGTATCCATGTGGGGAATTTAACCCGGGTCTTCAGCTTTAACCATTAGTCTACCCCACCGCCCGGGGGATGTGAAATACAGAAACAAAAAATGTAGTCCTACACGCTTGCATGGGTGGCATTGTCATCTTGGAATCCGCAGTTGGGTTTGCAGGAATAGTCCTTTTGCCAGAAGTTTATGCTCGTGGGTTCGAATCCCATTTTCCCCTGATCATGTTTATATGTCTGTCAAACCCATAACCTTTCCTGGTGGGTTTCGCTAAATTTGGTTGTTTAACGCCGCATTTAGCAATATGCCAGGTAACCCGGCCGGCCTTCAAACCAGTGGTCAACAGCATGAGCATCGACCTACGCAACTGGGATACGATCACATGTGAGTGAGTGAGTGAGTTCTGTTTTACGCTCAGCAATATTCCAGCTATATGGCGGCGGTCTGTAAATAATCGAATCTGGACCAGACAAGCCAGTGATCAACAGCATAAGCATCGATCTACGCAAATGGGATACGATGACATACGATGAATTCTAACCTGGATCTTCACGAGTATTTTCACTAAATATAGTGACATAAGTCTAAGACATATTGCACTTCATGATCTATTTATATTAAGTGAATGAGTGGGTGAGTGAGTTTAGTTTTAAGCCGCTTTTAGCATAATTTCAGCGATATCATGGCGGGGGACACCAGAAATGGTCTTCACACATTGTACCCATGCGGAGAATCGAACCGGGGACTTCGGTGTGACGACCGAACGCTTTAAGCAGTGGGCTACTTCACACACACACACACACACACACACACACACACACACACACACACACACACACACACACACACACACACACACAGAGAGAGACCTAGGATTCGAACCCAAGACTAGTGAAGCAACAACACCCACCGCTGAGCCACCGATCTGCCTATAGACACCAAGAACTAGAGAAGTGTTTCATGACAGTGATGATAAGCTGAATAATTTTTCTTAGCACATTTGATGTGCTTTGGATGAAGGACCTGCGGTTTCCTTTGAAGGTTAGGTTCTGATTAGGCGTAATTAGGGTTGCGGATAATCTCCTCTAGATGTTTTGATAAGGTGAACTCGTCGCACTAGGTCAACATATCGTAGTGGAACGCAATGGAACCACCACAACTCAGAGAACCAACAATCACCTTGAAGGGTGGCATTCACGTCAGCAAGGCTTACCCAAACATCTTCTAGATCGTGCCGTTCCTGTCACGAGAACAGACCAACACGGAAAACAAGCTGGTCCAGTACGCTGCTTGCCAGAAGCGTCCGTCCAAGAAGAAGAAATACAGGGACCTAGAGCGACGACTGGATGACATCCGTCACCAGCTCAGACAAGGAACAGTGTCCGTGAGACAGTTTGCTGATTCAGCATTCCACCTGTTGCATTTGGGTTAAAATCTGTGCATGAAACCGGACGAAGACCATTCTCTCAAATGATGCACTAAAGCTCAAAATGTCAAAATCTCGAAAAAATGTGGAGGGTTGAAACCGGATGAAGGAATACTAAATGCCGTGTGTCTGTTTTCCAAGAAGACATCTAAATGTTTCTGCACCTAAACTGAAAGGTCGCAGTGCAGTAAAGGTTTGAATAGCTTAACAATAGGGAGCTTTGTTCACGTTAAGTTCTTGGAGAATCCTCGACGAGGAGAACAATACGACAATGCGCATGCGTGACAGTACTGACCCGGAAGACAAATAGTGAGTTCCAATGGTGTCGTTGAATATGTCCCTGAATAGCAAACAGATGGGGCAGCATAGATATCATTCAACTGATATTAGCTCGAAGGCATCTGACGAATATTTGATTAAACAGGGGGTGCGTGAATGTTGAAGTATATCTCTTTTTTAAGTGTACTATCAAACATGAATGATCAAAGCAACGCTTGCTTCTGATATACACACGGGTGTATGTCCAATGTATAATACTAACTTGTACAGCACAGGAAAATACTGTTCAACTTAGCAAGAAGTGAAACCGTTTGCACATTTTTTACATAGATGTACCCGGAAGAAAGGTCATTATTGACGAATCCGAAGACAGCAATGACCATCCTAAAGGTGTGTTGATAAACACTTATCGCATTCCTTCCAATGGAATATTGACACAAGAATTTATAACCTCGCCCGAACCTTTGTCTTTTTTCAAACAGGATTCCAAGCACTCATCCTAAAATCCGCTCAGGCAACAGATAAAGCATACTTGCTCAATAAAACCTCTTATTGCTAAATACTTGTCATGTGGACTGTTTGGCAAAATTAAAATTAAAACAAAATTTGTTAAATTAAAACGTTGAACTTAGGTTAGTCTCCCTTGCTGAATGTGGACTGTTTGTCAAATTATTAAATATGTAAACAAACGATTGCAAACCAGGTTACAAATATTAGCAAGCATGGATAGGCTTTCAAAATTTAAACGTAACTTTTAAATGTGATATTATGTCAGAAAAATTAATTATGTTTGTCTCCTTGAACTTATTTGCACTTGTTGTGAGCCTAGTGTGAGCTGTTTGCAGACTAAAGATTGGTGCGGTGGCCTTGTGGATATAGCGTTCTCTCGTCACTCTGAGGGCCTTAGGTTTGACTCCCCAAGTGTGAGTGGTATTCATTGTAGAACGTAAATCGTAAAATTGCATTACACTGTATCTGTCGGCAGTCTATAGTAGTTGTGTGACGATTCATCGATACGCATTGATGCATCGATCCATCGCCCGCCGATACAGTGAATCGATACAAAGTTTTACATTGTCGTATATCCCGATACGATATTTCAAATGGTCCACGATACATCGATGTTTAACTTTGAATATTGCCGACCCGTGAAGATCCGGGTAGAATAGGTCTTCAGCAACCCATGCTACCCCCAAAAGGCGACTCTGCTTGTCGTAAGAGGCGACTAACGGGATCGGATGGTCAGGCTCGCTGACTTGGTTGACACATGTCATCGGTTCCCAATTGCGCAGATCGATGCTCATGCTGTTGATCACTGGATTGTCTGGTCCAGACTCGATTATTTACAGACCGCCGCCATATAGCTGGAATATTGCTGAGCGTAAAACTGAACTCACTCACTTACTTGTGATCGTATCCCAGTTGCGTAGGTCGATGCTCATGCTGTTGGTCACTGGTTTGCAGGCCGGGTTACCTGGCATATTGCTAACTGTGGCGTTAAACAACCAAATTTAGCGAAACCCACCAGGAAAGGTTATGGGTTTGACAGACATATAAACATGATCAGGGGGAAATGGGATTCGAACCCACGAGCATAAACTTCTGGCAAAAGGACTATTCCCTGCAAACCCAACTGCGGAGTCAACATTGAAAAACGCTGGCAGAAACTGACGAAATACTTTAAAATGGTTTTGTTTTGATCTTAAGGTGTTTATAGTTGGTGTTAGAATTAAAGATTTTAGTATCGTGATACGTATCGTATCGCAGCTTTAATGCTCAATACTTTGGAAATATACCGTCATGACTAAAATTTGTGTATCGTGATGTATCGTATCTCAGGTTGTATGCCAATACCAGCACTAGTAAAAAGGGGAAAGCTGTGAGCTGGTATAAATATTCGGACCGGGAGTAAAGGCATATCTGGAAGCTTCTAGAACATCCAGAATAGTAATGGGTTGTGACCCAGAGAGTTAGAAAAGGTTCCGAACAGAAACTTCCGGAAGCTGTGCATATCTTTTCACAGCGGGAACACGAGTATTCTCTCGGTAAAATTAATTCCTCTATGCTTGAAAGAGACAATATGACACTTGGACAGTTGGAGCGAAATATAAACATTCGTAAAACTATGTGCGCATGCCTGTGAACTTTGAACCCGGAAGACACGTGGCACGTTTTTGGGGTAAATGTCTGCAGCCGTGAAAGTGGATCTAAACAATGCCCGTCTCTTTACAACACAATCAAGCGGTTTAACCTCAGCTAATGATGGCACACTTGAAAGACCACGTAATCAAAGTCTGCCTATTTAGAAAACAATCACGAAAGTGCTCTCGCTCTTCAAACATTTGGCTAATTCGCTCTTCAAGCAATCAGAGGAAAAAGGTGTATCCTACTTTTTTGTTAAACCGGTAGTTTCTTGCACACCTTAAAATACCATAGGACAAAATAAATGTACCTC